TAGTAATATGATCAATGTCCTCCAAGAAATATTCGTCTTTTAATGCATGTAAAAAAATCTCCCACGAATTTCCATAATTCTCCATAATTGAGGTAATATGTTCTCTTATCTCCGGTATCTTGGCTAATCCAAATAATTCAACCATCTTCTTCTCAGAAACCCAATTTAATTTCATTTCCTGAACATAAAATCTTAAATACTTTGAAATATCTCTTCCATCAAACAAGTCAATTTTATTGGCCACTGCTTGCAAAGCTTTGGTTGCTAAAGCTTCTTTGCAATCATTTCTTTGCTGTTGATACATAGATAATGATAAGGCTTGAAACATACTAGCAATGGATGGATTTATGTATATACCCTATCTTTTAGAAGAAACTCCACCAGAAGCTCTACTTGAAGCTCCTCCCAAAGATCCCTCAAAATTTTTATTCTCGTTCTCCATAAAATAAAATGAAAATAAACAAAATCCAATACCTTCCACCTTAAGCTTTCACGTCGAGTTCACCACTAATGTCATATTACGTACTATCTTGCTTGAGAATGCACCGGGCATCTAGCTGTAGAAGATAAAACAATGTTTTATAAGTATCCAGGTAGGCTAGTGGATTTCAACCATCTAAATACAAACTATTTCGGATTTCAATGTAAAAGCTTAATTCCAATACAAAGTACTTAGAAATACTATTTTTAATAACTTTAAGATATTATAAGTACAAAGTCTTTTTTATTTGTTAATTTTTATTTTTATTTTATTTTATTTTTAATCCTAATTCTAGACAGCGAGCTTCAGCAAGCTGTAATTCTCATTCTGATCATCCGATTGTTATAAATTTCTACCACTAGTGTCTTTGCAAGCCTTCTAAATGCTTAAGAAGTTTCAATCCAATCTAACTTATAGGTTGCAAGAAAATGCCATTAATCCACATTAATGTATCTTGACCGCCGCCTAGAAGTCATCGACTTATCACACCAAAAGTCACCTTATTCTAGCCAATAGATCTCTAAATATTACAAAAATCCTAAACAACCTCAATTTGCTAACTTTCGATACCTCTTTACACTAATGGTCAAATATCCTCTATCTGTTTTATCAGATTAATACAAACTTTTATATGTACTCAGCATATTCAACCCTCCAGATACCTCTAAATTTCAACCGTAGAAGTTTCTTCAATTTCACAAAACAGTCAAAATTACCAGCTGTTACTTTATTGCAAAAAATCCAATTTACCAATACAAACATTGACTTTCAACAACGATTGCCAAAGTTCTTCCAAATCCTATGAAATCCAATTCTACATCTTTCGAAGGAGCTTGAAGCTAGCTCTTCGACCCCAAAAATCCAATCTCCAAATGCCCCTTTTCTTATCCTCTCCTCCCTTTTAACTCCGTATTGTCCCCTTTTCTCCCGCCTTGGACTCCAAATTAGAACAGCCAACGGCGCTTCCCCGGAATTCCTGTCTATAAGAGGATCTTTCCACCAAAAGGACGTTTCCCCCAAAACGGCATAGAGAATGGAACAGATTAAAATGGAACCAAAGCCTCTATATTCAGGACCTCATTGGGTTGCCCAACCAAGTCAGGTCTCATACTGGGTAAGAAGCCCATACCAAGACTTGGATTGGATGTCCCCATAATTGGATCAAATTGGCCCTTCACATCAGACTCACCCAAATATTGAATTGGTTCTTTCTCCTTTTGCCGACTCTTGGTAAGAACGGCTCGGACTCATCCCACTTGATTTATCGAAGAATCTTAAGGACCTTGATTTATCTCCTCAATTTTTCCTTGGCTTTGGATCTACTAATCCCGTTTATTGAAATTGGATGGAGCATTACATTGCTGATAAGTATGCCTCATCTGCTTGCCATTCCTACACACTCGCCTGTAATCATCACTGGCTTTGGGATTGGAATATTCACTGGCATAATAACCAACCTAGTTTTCAACGAAAATGACGAAGTGGTCTTCCTGCACCCCATCATGCATATTGGGTGTCTCCATCGGTATATATCTATTAGGCTTGTTCCATGTAGGGTTGAAAAATAATCTTGGTTGTTCCGTTGGTATGGAGGGTACTTGGTTTGATGATGTTGGTGGGGTGACATTAACTGACCCTGAATATTGGCATTTTAGTTAGACACTATTTTTAACATCCAAGATGACTAAATATTAATAATATCTTTTTTATTTATATTTTCACCATGTAGTCGTGTTACAATACGACAACACATTGACACATTCTTTGTGAGAGAAGGATTTGTAAGGAGTGAGACTGATCATTCCTTATATGTGATGCAATCAAATATGTTCATATTGATTGTCATCCTCTATGTTGATGATTTGATCATCTTAACCAATATATTGAAGATGATGGATTAGTTGAAGGCAAAGTTAGAAAAGGAGTATGAAATGAGTGATTTAGGAGAGCTTCATTATTGTTTAGGAGTGGAGTTTGTAAGAGATTGTACTAAGAAGACTATTATAATGAGCCAAAGGAAGTACATTGAAGAAGTGTTAAAATGATTCAACATGGAGGAGTGTAAGCCTATTGGAACACCATTGGAAGCAAACTTGAAGTTGATGAAGCTCACGGATGAAGAGTTTGCTGAAACTGAAGGTCAAATGCAAGGTGTTCCATACAAGGCAGCAATGGACTCACTTATGTATGCAATGGTTTGTACAAGGGTGGATCTTGCATATGCGGTGAGTGTTGTGAGCCAACACATATCAAAGGCTGAACCAATCCATTGAACAACCATCAAAAGGATCATGAGGTACTTAAAAGGTACTTTGAACTTCAAATTATGCCTTGGAGGTGTTAACATTAGTTTGCATGGTTATTGTGATGCGGATTGGGCTGGAGATGCAAATGATATAAGATCAACAATGGGCTATGTATTCTTTGTTGGAGTGGGAGAAATTTCATGGAATTGCAAGAGACAACCAACCATTGCAAGGTCAACAATGGAGGCAGAGTACATAGGAGCAAGCCATAGTGCAATGGAGGCAATATGGTTGAGACAACTTTTGGAAGACATTGGAGATGTGCAAATGGAAGGAACTCCAATGGAGTGTGACAATCAAGGATGTCTTACATTTACAAAGAATCCAAAACATCATTCTAGGACCAAACACATTGACATTCAACATCACTTTGTAAGAGAGAAGATTGAAATGGGAGTGATTGATATGAAGTATTGTGCAATGGAAGAAATGCTTGCTGATTTGTTGACAAAGGCATTAGTAAAAGATAGACACCACATGTTGACAAAGGCATTAGGATTAAAAGCCATTTGACCAATAGCAAAGTGAGAGTGTTAAAGTAAAAATAGAATAAATTACCTTATAGAGGATATTAACTTATGTAAGTTGCTAGTGGTCAAAGGTTTGACTCTTGATATATGGTAAGGGCATCCAATGGACATAGGGCGAAGTCATGGACTAAGACTCAAAGTCAAAAGAATAAAGTATTAACAAAGAAATATCCAAAGATTAAGTATGAGTCATTAGTATGTATCATAGGATACCCTCGAGGCTCGTGAGATGCCAAAAGGATCTTAAGGCCACGTGTATAAAAGTCAAAGAGTGGAAGTTGTCTTTAAGGGAGCAACCACTATCTATAAGTAATGGATATAGGAAACAAGAGACATCTTATTCCATACTCTCTTTGTATACAACCTTGCTGATGCTAAGTGTTGTATCTTCAAAGTACTTGTTCTTTAATAACTCTTGCCATTCTTCAATCACAATGTCCATTGAATACTCTTGCAAAAAATATTTTGGAGTTGGGAATTAGGATTGAAAGGGTTGCAACTAACTACGGGAAAGAAGGGAAATATTTACTAATTATATATGATCTGAAAAAAGCCAAAACTTGCAAAAGTTAAAAATTTAATTGATCTTAATTTCATCCTTTTGAAAAGGCTGGCTACCCTCTTCCTCTCCTTTATGCACATTTTCTTAGGGAAGAATAGTACCATTTACTTCTTTTTTTTTGTAATTTCTTTTGATATTACATAAAAAATAAATAAATAAATAAAACCTAATATTCCACTATAATAGAATTTAATTGAGTTTGTTCTTATAAATTGGAGTTGATTGTAGTACTATAGATGTTACATTATTAACATTGTACTTAGTTATATGTATATTTTAAAATTCTAAAACTTGGTTTAGAATATTTTTTTAGTATTAATTTTGTAATCTTAAAAAAAAACTTTAAGTATAAATTACTTCCACTGTAAAATATTTTTTATTTTTAGTATACTTTTATTTTAAGGCCTTAATATTTTATCCATATTTTTTAGGGGTTTTGTTTAATCTTATTTTCTCTTTTCTTTTTTTTTACCATGTACATCACTATCTATGATTATATTTATTCTTAATTGATTCTATGACATCATACTTCTATTTTTATGATATTCTTTTCTTAAAAAGAAAAAAAAGAAGAGTTTTAGATAGATTTTTATTAAAAAAAAAAAAAAAAAAAAAAGGTGATCTTCTCAAGCTCATACAATTAAATCTCTAAACAAATATATTAAAAGTGTAAATACAACAATACTTGTTATTTATTTATTTAAAGTTAAAACCAATAAGACATTTGGCATTTATTGAGCTCAACTAAGAGTGCCAAATATTGTGTACCTATGATAAACTTTAATGCATCCTATACCAACATATCCATTGCCATGCATAAACAAGAATTTCTTGCTCAATTACTCCAAAATGTAATTTTGAATGCCTTAACTTGGCACATTGCAAATACTCTTAAAACCTTTAAAAGTGGAAAAACTCCTTGTTGACATCATTTCATTAATACTTTTATAAATACTTCTAAATACAAATACATAATACCATGATGGTTAATACATAATAAAACATAATTCAAGAGTTTCATTGTACAAGCTTGTGAGGTGGTGTACTCAATTCTCATGGGAGGGGTGGAAGGTGCTTGGAAATTCCTCGGACATGGCCCCGGGAAGGGAGTTGAGAAAAGACCGCATCAGCTGAAGTGTGTTTTCGGAGGCTATGGCGACGGCCATGGCGGCGGACGAACTGGAGTCCGTGCAGTATGCGATATACAGCGATGGAGTCTGTCTGCTGTCCTCGTCGCCATCGCCAGGACCGCACTCCTCGCCTCAAGAGCTTCTCTACGAGCTACGGGACGCAATTTTCTGTCACGTACAGCCGCTGCTCGAGGGTTACATATGGCAGCACCAGGGGTTCAATTTGGAGGTCTCGAAGAGCAAGAGCGGCTTGTGGCACTTGGCAGGGTGTACCAAATTTGGGGATAATGTAGAAGACGAATGGTTCATTGTGTATTTGTTAAAGAGGGCAACGGTAAAATTTCGGGACATTTCAATCACAGTTAGGGATAATGACGGAGAGTTTTTGCTCATCGAGGCGGCGTACGTGATTCCGCGGTGGTTAAAGCCGGAGAATAGCCTAAACAGAGTTTTTTTGAGGGAGGGATGGGTTCATTTGGTGAGACGGGGTCCTGGGGAGAAATCGGGGAATTTAGGGGTGGAGGAGGCGGTGGGGTTGATGAGGAATGGAGGTGGGGCGACGAAGGCGAGTGAGGACGTGCAAGAGGCTATTGCGAAGCGGATCAATGGGTATCCCGAACAGGCGCGGGTGAATATGCACAAGGCAAGGTGTTTGGTTCCAGTACCTGTGGCGCAGGTTTTGCGGCACGAGCCTCAGATGGTGTCCTTGGCTGTGGATGCATTTTATCGCCGCGATATTGATGCTATGAAGGCTGCAACAAAGCTTGAAAAGTTTCTTCCTGTGCAAGGTGGGTTTTGTGCGCGATTGTTTGATCACCTTGGAATTTGGACCTTGCGTCGTGTGGCGATTGTTTTTGAGGGTTTAAGTTTTAGCTCTGGCTGTGAAACATGTCCGATCCTATTGAAGGGCTTAAGGCAAGCGTAATTCAAAATTCCTATTTGAGCATGATGGCCCCCCCTTAAACCCTAAACCTTTTCTCACTTAAATCAACATTCGTAAATTGCCCAATTCCCCTTCTGTTTGGTAGAAGACAATGTACGGAGATATCTCTCTAGTCATTGTGGGGTTGCGGCAATGGAACTGGTCCGAAAATGCCCCTTATTTTTGCGAAGTGTTCCTGCCTCCTAGCATGCCGTCGAGTTTTGTTTGGCAATACGCCCTGGAGCTTGAATAGGGTTGTGGTTGTGACTCTGCAGATGGCTCTTTAAGTTCCAATGGTGACATGGTTGAGGTTCTAGTGACCATGTCCCGTGCCATGTATGCGCAACTCTACCAACAAATGTTTGCCGCTCCTCGAAAGTACCCTATGCCGGGAGTAGCAGATCCCAGTTTCAAGGCAGCTGAACTTGGCATGAAGCTTACATGTGGCTTTGAGATGATGTACTGGGAGCGTCAAAGGTTCGAAGGCGATGGTGTAGATATGATTAATGGTGCGTCCAATTCCTCTCTGAAGTATAATTATCTAAGATAAGTTGACCGTTTTCATCCTGCTTTTCATGCGAATATTTATGACTGGTCCATGCTATTGGGCCTCATTGGTTATCTCTGTGTAGTCTACCCTCTGACCAAGTTATAAATATCTTTTTGTGTATTTCAGAAGCAGAAAAACTTAAGCAGGAGGACAAAGCTCCTTTTCATGATCCAGGCTGGGAAGCATATTATAAGCGTTTAGAAAAGAGTGGCTACTTCCGAGACCTTTTGGAGGGATCAAGGGAATGGAAACAGCTGCTGCAAGCTGCAGTTGCGGATTATCGTCGAACCCAGGGTTTTGCCGCTACAAGGTATCACTCTTGACTTTCGTGTTCTCCTTGGGCAGTACTCGCTGGGCACAGAGATCATTTGTTTTCATGCCAGAAATGTAATGTTTTTAAAGAAAGGTGTGAAACTTAGGACTTCAAGTTGGATAGTCATTTTTTCACTCGTCCCTATATTTGATGCCATCTTTTAAGTGGCTAGTCCTTCTTTCGTTGATTTCATCTGAATGGTTTCAGACTCAAAGAAGTCGGTATTGAATGATACCTATTTCCACAGCGCAGATATGCAGGCTCCAATCAAGCGTGTGAAAGAGATCCTTTCGTTGCCGCATTCCGCAGCCGATTTCACCGGTTCTCCTTTACCAGAGAGTGATAGTGACGCATGGCTGTACGATGGAGAAGGCGACCTCGCAAATGCTATCAATGAGAGACAAGCGGAGATTGATGCACATGAGTCGAGGCGAGCAATGCGTCCGAACCAAGCTGGAAGTGCGGAAGTTGGCGATGGTGAGCCCCAGCCAGCTGGAGCCGCTGACGAACCCCTTTATGATCCACAGGAGCTGATTCAGGGCATACAATCATTCATGAGCAAGATATCTAGCTATGAGGGCGCTGAATTTCCTGGTGGTGAGTGGTCACTTGAACCCTCAGCGTTAGTTAGTGCGCTCATTGTTCTCACATATTTATTTTAAGGGACGGTTTTTTTTGTTTTTTGTTTTTTGTTTTTTTTTCTTTTACAGTTTTTATGTTATTTTTGATTTGTTATTTATTCTTCAGAATTGCCCAGTTGTATGCTGCATTTTACAAAATCAATTTCCAATATACTTGGGTTGTCCCTGTTCAGATGAAGCTGTTTCGTTAAACACATCAAGGTTTATGGAAGAGCTGGAGTCTGCCTTGGGAACGAATGAAACAGCAGATGCAAAGGACATTTATGATGATTCTGACTGGGACACTGAGCCAGGTGCTTGTCACTTCTCTTTGAAATGTTAGGCGAGTTATTGCGTTAGTATATGAGGACAATAAACTGGACTCTGAGTAATGATGGAAAGATAAGGATTTATGTTCCTGGATAGCAGGGCTTTATGTCTGTGAAAAGGTTTGTTAATTGAATTTTTCTTTGCGTTGTTTTTCACTAACTCTTGCTTTTACGTACACTTTTTCAGATGACGATGATGAAGAAATGGCTGATGATGATGATGAATTAAGAGCCAGCAACAGTTTGGGTAATCCAGCAGGTGTTAGTCAGATTGCAAGGTCGTCAAAATCCAGCGATGATTTCATGGAAGAATATTCCGAAGCCCTGCAGCGTGAGTTGCAAGGGTCAAGTCTTGCAAAGAGTTTCGAAACTCCCGAAATTAAAGATGGGCCTGCTAAGGTGATCAAAGCTGCTCTAGTGTACCTCTTTGTCGTGATGTCTTCATTTCTACCATATTTGGCACTGGGTCGAATCAGCAATCAGAAATGTGTCAAGCTGATGGGTAAATGTGAGCTTGTTGAGATTCATTCTTATCAACCTTTTTATAGCCATGAGCTTACCACATCACATCTATCCACGTCACTTCATGTTAATAGAATACTTTGAAGATGAGGCTTATGTGTCCGTATGTTGCTGCAGATGAATGACCAAGCACAGCAGAAAGAGAAAGACGATGATAACGATGGCATTGTGGATGTGGACATTAATTTGGTCACGAGCTTGCTGCAATCTTTTATGAATCAAGAAGGAATGCCTGGACCAGCTTCTAACTTGCTGGGGGCCATGGGCATAAAGCTAAAAGATCCATCTAGCATGAAACCGGATAGCAGTGGGAAGTAATTACAAGCCTGACGAGCCTCTAATATGATAATGTGAGTATACTCTGTATATTCTCTTCAGTCATTTTTACCTGATCGCTTAAAGCCCTTACGAGAGTCTTTCTGGTTGTTCCCTAATATGTTCAGAGTTAGCTTAAGAGGAGAAAACCTCAATTTGTTTTTCGATGGACTCAATTTGCAACAAATCTAGAGGACTTGGTGCATAATCCAAACTCTGAACCCCACAGTTCTAATTCCTATCTTTATAGTGTCTTAATCTTCGGCAGAGACATAAGCCTCACTGCTTGATGCATATTGGAATACATGCTTCCACGTGAATGTAAAAATTTCAGTTACAAACGTGTTCTGAGCGCTTTATTGCATGTGATGCACACAATTTTGCAAAATGGAGGCTTGTTTGTGGGAGAGATCGTTAGGCTGAAACAGGAGGAACTTGACTGTCTCCTAATCTACTTTTTTTTACCAACTTTAATTTTAAAATGGTGCCAAAAGTTTCCAGAATATAATGAAAGCATTTTCACTAGCCCTCTCTGTAGCATCTGAATCAATGCGATGGTGTGGATATGCACTCTATTGTTGTCGATCCAACACTAGGTGTTGACATGAACTTGCCTGATCTTACCCCAGGTGCACCAATTTGGATAATTTTATCTTTTATGTATATACCAAATTTTATGATAATTTTTTATTTGCTTATAGTTTAATTAATTATGACTAAAAGATGTCTTTTTTTCCGAGCTATATTTTCTTACTTTGGTAATGCTATAAAAAAAATTAATTAAAAAATATTAAGCTTTATCTTAGATTTTTTTATTGATTAAATAGATAGGCTTTGATATATATAGATTATGAAATAAGTATCTATAATAATAAAAAAAAATGACTCTCATCTAAAGAAAAATATATTTGCTATAGAACAATATATATACTTGAGCAAAGAAATGAAATATTTTTGCTCATTTGAAAGTTGAATTTTAATTAGGTATAAAAAATAAATTTAAATAAATAAAATTATTTTCTTAATTTTTAGATACAATTTAAATTAATTTGATAAAATCTTTATAGTAATTAAAACTAATTTCAAACTAATCTTATTAATTTGATTTTAGAAGATAGCTACTATTTTTTATTATTTTTAATACAAGGTTTTTTTAACCTTGTAATTATATACAATTTTGGTACCTATTTTCTTGGTATTCTAATTAATGATTTAAAATCATCAATTATTATTAAATTTTAATATTCAATTTATAATAAGAAACAATAATGTCATTATATTATTTAATGAAGATAGCAAAGATATTAAGAATGTGGTATGAAAGGAATGCTTTTGAAGCTATTAAGTAGAATAAAAAGAAAAACCTTTTATTGCAATATTCAAGTATCCTCTAATGTATTATCTTTAATTTAATAAATAGCTATTAGATTGTTTTTTCATGAATATTGTAAGAATAAGATTTAAAACTAAAGACATGCTTTGTATACCAAAAAATTATGTTAGATACATATAGCTTGTGCATTAACCTCTCATATGTCTATGCACTTTGTATACATTTATAAATCCACTGTAGTGGATGTATTCATTAATCACATTGATTAATATTACCAAAATTTAGATTAATTCAATTCCTTAATCAATTTAGATGACAAATATATACCTTATATAGCACTTATTTATTTATTTGATAAATATTTAGAACTATATTAAGTAAAAAGAAAAGTCTCTTAAATTTTTAAAAGATTAGTACCATTTGGTGCACCTGGGGTAATAATTATCATTTATTTTGGACAAAAGTGAAGCTTAGAGAGCTTGAAGATATGGTCTTAGCTTTGATTATTCATGACTCTGAGAGAAAAATCATCTCTAGGAGACTTTTAAATAGGAGAAAATGGTCTATTGATATCAGCCAAAAATAGATATTGAGAGTTTTAAATAATATGGAAGATATAAGAATAGAGGTTTTTAATGGTACTTTAGAATACCAATATAATACATAGAAGAAATATACTTAAAGACAGTTTGAATTATATATAGTTGCAACAATGCAACACAATAAAACACATATATTTTGAGAGTTAGATGGTATAATGTTGAAGATATCTATAGTTAGAAAGTGCATCAAGGTATTTAAGAGAAGAGATGGCAGATTTATTTCAAGTGATCTTCCAAATTTTAAAACATTGGATTTAGATCAAGAGGAAGATGGAAAAGAAATGGAAATAATGTACCAAACTCAGATGGTCAGATTGGCACATACCAGAGGATGTGTAGGTTTGGAGGGGGTGGATGTAGTACTGTAAGTGCTTACAGTATGTAAAAATTAGTTAACATATATTATATGTTGATAAATCTAAATATGTATTAGAGTGGCTAGTAGATTAAATTAAAAGGAGTTGGTATAAGAAACTTTACTTTGTTTCTTTACTTCTTTTGATTCTGACATTAAAATATATATATATATATATATATAGGATCTAAATGTTTAGTATGAAGCCTTCGGAGAAGGTGGAAACCTAAGGATGAAAATCTAAACTAGTAGGAGGCTAATTGGGAGGGATGAAAGCAAGGCATGGTCGGATGAAGGCAAGGAATGGGGAACTTCATCCCTATTGGTCAAATACCATGCCCAATGCGCTTTGAGGAGGCTGCCAGCGACCTTAAGAAGGTTTTCGGCGACTTCAAAGAGAGCATTCGGAGATTACAAGCTAAGGTTGTAAAGTTTAGGATTTGGGGTACAATTTTTATGCAAAAATTAGAGGATTTGGAGTTAGGGTGAAAAAGTTATAGCCGTTTGAAGTTAAGATGTTAATTTAAGACATACTGTTACTCTTTTGAGGGTACGAGGAGTTTTACAGTAACTTTTGAAGATCGAAAGATGCGATTGGAACGGCAATTTCAAGTTCTACATCTTTCATAAAAGAATTATTGCTTTTGGAGTTTATATAAAGGAGTTGTAAGGAGTTGAAGGCGATGCTTCCAAATCAAAAGCAGTAAGTAAGCGGATTTATTTGTAGTAATGGTTGGAGCCATAACTTGAGTTTTCGAACGAATTTTTGGCTCAAACTTTTTGGAGAATGTAAAATTTTGTGTTAAAAAGCTATACATACAAATTTCATGGCATTTGAGCTTATATTTTGTGAGATATGAAGAAAATTGCACATAGATGTATAAAGACAAGGGTTTGAAGCGGCTGTTAGGATTTTCAAGATATCTCAAGATCTGCAACGAATTTGTAGTTGAAATTTTTTTGTAGAAGTTAATAAGAATACATCAGTATCTCATATAAAATTTGAATTTGTTTGGACGGTCGGATTAGGAGATATGAGGTGTTGAAGTTTGGAAAAATCTCCACATAAGAATAAACAAGGTTTTAGAAGATTTTATCATATTTTGAAAGTTGTGGGTTACTTGAGGATTGTGTATTTGGTGTAATTACTCAAAAGGAGAAAAATTATATATAAACTTAGGGCTTCCCTTATTTTCAAGCTTGATTGAATAATTAGTCACAGCCAGAAGTCCATCGTTTTTTTGAGGCAAACTCTTTCTACCCCGACACCGTATATACAAATCACAAGAATTTAGAGTACTTCATGTCGGCTTGAGTTCTGAATCGTCGTCAAGCTCAATGGAATATGTTGCTATCTAGATTTGACTTAGTTATTACTTATCAGCCTCGAAAGCAACAAGGACTATCCGATGCATTATCTAGGAGACCGTATCTAGCGCCAAAGGCTAGAGAAGCAACGTTTGATCAATGGTGTACAACATTGCTGAAGTCGGAACAATTCAGGCTTTGCTCTGCTATAGTGCCAATTGATGCTAACTTCCTCAACCATGTACATATCGTGACTATTGGAGATTTTGTAGCCCTCGATATCACACAACATTTCAATAATGACAAGTTCAAGGTGGAAGGAGATCTTTTATACTTTGAGGAGCGATTGTATATTCTAAAGGGACCAACACGACTCCGAGTTCTCTAATCTCGATACGACTTTCCAACTACAGGATATTTTGGATTCAATAAGATGTAGGAACTTATTTCCCGAGATTTTTGGTGGCCCCAAATGTAGAAGGATGATAAGGATTTTATCCTCTCCTGTAATATTTGTTCAAGATCCAAGAACCCTTGCCATCATCCTTATGATCTTCTTCAGCCATTGTCTATTCTACGTTAGCCATGGTCTTCAATTTCCATGGACTTTATTACGGACCTGCTGCCATCAAATTCATTTGACAGCATCTTTGTTGTGATAGATCGGCTTACAGAGATGGCACATTTTGTCCCTTGTAAGAAAACATCGTGAAGCAAAGACACAACAAGACTCTTTCTTGATAGTGTATATTGATATCATGGTCTACGAGATGATAGCATGTCAGATCAAGGAACCCAATTCGTATCAAAGTTCTAGAAATCTTTCTTTGAGATATTGAAGATGGATATCAAGCTTTTTTATGCTTTCCATCCTCAAACTGACGGCCAAACGGAGTGGGTGAATCAAACTTTGGAGCAATATTTACAATGCAGCATCAACTATCAATAAGATAATTGGATTGCGTATCTATCGTTAGTTGAGTTTGCATATAACAACACCTTTCATGCGTCGACTCAACAAAGACCATTCTTTTTCAATTATGGATATCATCCGAAGCTTGATTTGTTGAGTCCATCAACCAATAGCAACCAGGCAACTGAAGGATTTGTGAAACAACTATCGGAGATTCAAACTACGTTGAAGCTTCAATTCCAAACCGCCCAAGAAGCTTACAAGGCGTTCATAGATAAATTTTGGAATCAGGCACCAACTTTCAAAATTGGAGATAAAGTATGGCTGCTTTGATGGAATATCAAAACCATGCGGTATCGTATTACGTGTTGTCTTGTTTGGGAATACACTGGGTATCTGGCTGTGGAAGGTATAGTTGTTTTTACAAATAACAAAGAAACCCTAATAGATTTTATCCATGTATGAAGAATATAATTGAAATATCAATTTTCAAGTATTTAAAAACACTCCTCATAGTCATTTTAACCATACAATATTCCAATTGCTATATTTCTTTTATAATTAAGTTGTTTTTGTTTTTCTTAACAAGCCCTAACCCTAGCCAGTGAGCTTTGACAAGCTGTAACTTTTGATCCAACCGTCCACTTAGTGTGAAATTTTGCACCCAAATACCAGTATAAGCCTTCTATATGCTCAAAAAATTTCAGCCCAACCCAACTTACAAATTGCAAGAAAACGCCCAAAAAACCGCACTAATGACACTCGGCCGCAATCTTGAAATTTGATGTAGAAACTCCAGAAGTGATTTCTCCTTTGTCAATCGTTAACTC